CACTGTGCTGTGTTTATACCTAGTCACACTGTACTGAGTTTTGTATCTAGTTACACTGTGCTGATTTTTGTACCTAGTCACACTGTACTGAATTTTGTAGTTAGTCACACCGTGCTGGGTTTTGTACCTAGTCACACTGTACTGAATTTTGTAGTTAGTCACACCGTGCTGGGTTTTGTACCTAGTCACACTGTACTGAGTTTTGTACTTAGTCACAGAATGAAATAAAGAAGAGTTACAAAAATCAAATATTTGTCGGCTTGGTTTAAAAGTTTATGAAAATTTGCTGTCATATACGTAATTTAAACATAGAAAACATACCTTGAAGAGAAAGACATTCCATCAGAGCTGTATATCCCCCAAATGGCTCAGTCATAAGTCTGGGGGCTTATAGCTATAAAAATCGGGTTTCGATACTCGTGGTGGGCACAGCATAAATAGTCCATTGTCTAATTCTATAATATTTGTTTTCTGTAGTTGTAGAAACAGGGTTCGAAACGTGGTGCCGCGGGAAGATATTGGGAGGTGTAGGAAAGAGAGTACACAATAGTGTTAAAGTAATCTGGCTATGGACGTATTAGGGGGCTTCTGGTATAAAGTGTACGATTTGCAGTAGTTAACTGTCTTGTACCAAAACTTTTGATTTATTCGAACGATGGAGGAGACACAGCCGCTTAAAGTTTATTAAACAGTTTTAACGAGGGTACGGTTGTCAGAAGCCACTGGAAACCACCGTTGTGACTCACGTCTTCTGTGTGTTCTCGGACCTCGAGGGATTTACTGATTTCCTAACCATCTCGCGCATTACGCCTTAAAGGTCCCTTCTCCTTATGTGGTTCAGTACAGCCTGAATACCAAACACGAAACATTGTGGCCTGTTTATTTACACTCTGCCGGTGAAGCGAAACCACCAAGTGCCTGGATTTTTGTTCTCCTACCGATTTCTCAGTCCGAATGTGCATTCAACAAAAAAAAAGTGGAATGACCCTAAAAATACGTCTTGTGCCTACCATGTTTTATCAATACTAACTTCTGAGCTTCCTACTTAGAACAAAAGTGAAAATCAACCTGGTAATAAGAACTAATTAAATACACTTTTCTTACGTTCTTGATTATAAACATGTGTGTCATCAGGCGGTACCATCGCTGTTAACGATAGTTTCAGCTATTAATCTCAATAGTATCTCACGATAAGTTTACGGAATTACAACGGGGTTCGATTCCCCGCGGTGGACACAGCAAATAGCCAAACAAAATACCTCACGAGGATTCGGCCAGCTTAGAAGATATAGGTTAGTCCTAACTCCACCTACTAAGGAAACAAAGCAAGACAATCTGTATAACAAAAATGTAATTATTATTATTTTGAATTTATTATAACAGTAATAAATTAAAAAAAGAATAAAACTTAATATATTAAACGTTTGAAGCAATGCTCTTAATGAAAGTAGTGTTAGAGAAAGAAACATACATTACTTACCGAACACACAAGTATTAGTGCAGTGTAGTAACAATACTGTTGCAGATATTACGTCCGTTCGACGTACACAAAACATCAGTAAAACTGCGTATTAACAAACCTAAAATTCTGAATACGAATTCCTGAAACGTGGAAGAGTCTGGAGATCTTGTGAATTTTAATATCCAGGAACGTAGGGGAGGAAAGAAAAAATGTGAATTTCAATGCACCGCTCGTTAACGTTACTTATAATTGTAATAGTACCTAATTGCACCTGTAGGGGGAACTGTACGGTAAACTCAGGAAATTAACGAGCCAATTAACACTGTAGATAATGCAGTGGGTTGTTTGTTCGCACACTTAAATTCGATAGGTTATGTACGTTTGCTTAATGGCCAGGGATTAATTGGGTCACTTAAATCTGCTAACTCAGTTTCCTGGTGTTTTATTCTGAAAAAAAAAGAATTCCGCAGGTGATGACGTAGCAGAAAAAAACTCAACAAAACCTGTAATTTGATCTAGATGTAGAAACTGTAGAAAAAGTTCAGTTCAAAGACAGTAAATGGCACCTATTGGAGATGAACTTTGTTTACAAGAAGAACAGTAAACAGTTCAGAGAAATAATAAATAAACTTTAAAACTGTACACAAATATTTACTAAGGAGATTAAAAAAAACCCTTTAAAAACAGTAATAAGAGTTAACTCAGCATCTTTTAGCAGAGGCTGCGTGGAGAAAAACAAGAATAATGCAACTACAAGGCTTAGTCAACAGCTTTCTGGCTACTTTGTTGGATCGAATAGGAATTAAAGGAATTCATGATAGCAGACGTAAGGGTTTTACAAGAAACACAATAATAAACAGACTGGAACACCGAATCCCAGGTTTCATGGTTCATGTCCGTCCGCTTGCTGGAAGAAAACGCGCTCTGCACTTTGAAGCTGTGGTTGCACTACAACAGTGACAGACCGAACCCGAAACAGACGAATTTAATTATCTATAACTTACCGTCAATGTTAGCGCAGTGCTAACCAATGCGAGTGTAGATGATATAGTACTTATTAAGTTGCCCCCCAGTGGCACAGCGGTATGTCTGCGGACTTACAACGCTAGAAATCGAGTTTCGATACCCGATACTTTAGTTTTTTTCCCATGCAAAATTCCCGATAAATCTTGACACAAAATTTCATGATTAACCAGTGAGGAAGTGTACACAAAGTGACGTTTAACAGGAAGACCCCGTGTAGTTTAGAAAATAAGCTGGAATTTAAAACATCACCGACACTTTATACACATGTAGACTAAACGAACACGTCAGAGACTCCTTATGATTCCAATATATTTATCCCTAATTGTGAACTGCCGACCAAAGGAAAGGCAAACATTCAGCAGCACCGGCCGCCATAACGTCTTCGAACCTAACTGTGAGATTAACTGTCACACTTATAACATACCAGCAGCTGTGTTTTCAGCAAGATTACGAAAACAGTCTTGGATATTGCAGCGGTAAGTGAGATGGCTTATAACGCTAAAAATTGGGTTTCGATACCCGGGTGGGTAAATACGTTAGCCACTAGAATACGTAAAAAAGAAAGGAAATATTCTGCAGTAACAAAAAAGGAAAATTCTCCGT